TTTGTTACAAATGTGTATTACAATAATAATATTAACAAGAATAATGAAAACGGGGAAAGGAGATCTAGAGATAGAGGGGGCAGGGGAGAAGGGAGGGGAAGGGAAATAAAAAGAATCAAGACGAGTTATGTACTTGACTTGCACTCACTCCCTAAGATGAATGTAAACTTCATGTATGGCAAGCAATACTAGAATACATTTTTCAAATGATGGGTGTGTTGGGCTTTTAAGTCTCAGATGTTCTTATGGAACCTGTAAAAAAATCTTATTTAGAAAAAGTAGTTAGCAGACAAGATTAAGCTAAGGAGTACGACATGGGGAGACCTCTTCCTATTCCAGATGTCATCAGAAGCGTGCTGGGGGTGGGGAGAAGGTCGTTTCACTCACACACATGTATGTGTACACACATAACCACATGTGAGAAGAGGTCAGACCCCGATGGAACATCTTGCACTGTGTGATGATACAACTACAAGGCATGGGATTTCTGCAGCAACCAAAACCAGAGCTGGAAGAGGGATTGGATGTTCCCAAGAACCTCATGAGAGGGATCCACATCCACATCTTGATTTGCCCAGTGCCACCAGTTTCAGACTTCTGCCCACCAAAGCTGTGAAGAAATAAAAAGCATAGTTCTAAGTCACTACATCCAGGCTAAGCAGTTTCCAAACCATCGAAAATTAACTTACTGTGTTTAGAATATAATACATTGAGAAAATGTAGTGAATGCATATAATAATTTTCAGTAGAAAGAATGGAAATAGCAATACAGATACAGAAAAGTTTAATAAGTAGGGTATCAAAATTCATGATGTAATTGCTTATTCAAGAATGAAGGTAAAATACAAAGCAAAGGGAAAAGGTAACAATACCAAATTTATTAATCAGTTATAATATGTCACATAAATTCTAAGAATTTGATACATTTTCTAATTTTCATGACTATTTTACCAAAAATACAGAAAATATGATCCCTATTTTGCAGATATGATAGCTTATAACAGTTCCCAAATTATAAACTTGCCATAGAAATCTAATAAAGCAGAAAATCATGGAAAATGACTGAAATGATAATGCACATGAGAAATTAATTTTATATATTCAAGAAAAATCACAACTATGAGAAAATGTTTATTTTCCCTACTTAAAATGAAGTCAATTAAATGGTTATATGCATTAAAGATAATAAAAAGAAAACATAAACCCCTGGGTCCTAGAATATCTCCATGGCATTTCATGCCCACTCATCTTAGCAAGAATCCCTTGAAAGATTCTATTTGGCACTGGAGACAACCTAAGAAAATGGATCCTCGGAAGGTAAGTTGGACCTCAGCACTTTCCTGAGAGCCTCTTTGACATCCTTGTTCCTCAGGCTGTAGATCAGAGGATTCAGCATGGGGATCACGACAGTGTAGAAGACGGTGGCCACTTTGTCAGCTTCCCGACTGCTGCCCAGACTGGGTCTACAATAGAGGAACAGAATTGTCCCATGGAAGACAGCGATGGCCGTGAGGTGGGAGGCACAGGTGGAAAAAGCCTTGCGCCTTCCCTCTGCCGAGTGCAACCTCAGGATGGTGATG